CTTCTGGTGGTCATGTATGACTTCAATTACTTATCTTCACAAATTTTTAAGTTAATAAAATTATAAGCATGGCATGTTCTACACCTAAATTATTTTAGTTTAGAAAAATATCTTGCTAGGTCATTTATTTATCTGTGGCTTGGGTTCCAAAGAAGAAATTTATTTATCATGGGGGAGGAAGGTCGGGAGGGGGATAATCTTGGAAGTAGAAAAGAATAATAAATTCTTCAAATAAATAAATAAGCTGCTTGTAACTTGAAATGTCATCAGTATGTTTGATATTACTATCACACAAATATTCATTTCATACTTTTGGAATATAAAAACCCTCAAAGTTGAAGTTTAGAAATAAGTGTTTATTCTATCAGTAAGTGTCCTAAATGTGTCAGCTACAAGGTTTTTCAGTTCATCATTAGGAAAACTTACGCACCATCAAAAATGAACTTTTACAAAATAATATAAAAAGGCTAAGGTTCTAGTCTCAACAGATTTTATGAGGATAAAAATAGGAACTAACTCATTTTTTCCAACTATGGGAAAATTAGTGGGGAGAAAAGCAATTCTATTCTATGGTTATGAGTGATTCTTAGCAAAAAAAAAAAAAAAAAAATCATAGCATCTCCCTGTTTCATGTATTTAATTAGTGCATTTTTTATTCTTTGCTCCAAACTGTTTCTTTCATCTGACAAATTCAAGAAAATTAAAATTGTACTGTTGAGGACATATGAGAAATTTAATCTTGAAAGAAGTAAACTACAATGAAGTATCATTGTGATATTTTGATATGAAATCAGAAAGATATTGAGCATTAAAAAGCATTATATTTCTATCATTTAAAGCAGCCTATTGGGGAGAGGAAGACACATTTTTAATGACCACCAATGTGAGTGCACTGAAGCCAACTTAGTCCATTGATGAGATTTGATGTTCTTGTCACGATAAACCTGAGACCTAGGGTATTACCAATGACCCATGCTCCAAGAAACCAAAGTTTTTAATCACCCATAATCCAAGAAACCAAGGTCAGAACCAAGAAGTGGAACCAATTTTTTTTTATATCCCGCATTTATTTAAGCAAACCAAGTTGTAGATAGGAAATTAAAGCGTTATAATGTTTTACAAATACAGAAAGAAGACACAGAATAATAATACCCTGAAGAAAGTGCATCTGAGAACATAGTTCTGTCTCCAGAGGACACCTGCAGTGACCACACAGAAGCCATGACTGACACATCCATCCGTCATTCTTGTTAGTACATCGTTCAGTAGTTCCAACAGATAATTCAGCAATTTGCTTTAAAACAAATAATACTGCTAATGATTATGGTAGCCTTGAAGGTTTTGTGAGTGCCTACACTGCACATATGTGATATTAGGTATAATGTGATATTTCAATGCCGCTGTACGTTAGGCAGGGGAAAGAATGCCTTATTACACAATCACTGTGACATCCACTAAAATGTGAACTAGTTTGCATAGGTTAGTCCTTTGGGCAGCATGATGTTGCTCTAGTCCACAAGGCTTCAAGATTCACAGTATAGAGGAAAAAATAAACATAAATTAAAGCATTTCTACTAAAATATATTTTAATAGCTGGTATTAACAATTTGCATAACAAAGGCCAGGTTATATTAACAATATTGGGTTGTTTCTTCCGTGAGCTCCTTCATTTTAGAAACACTGTTTCCTTCAAAACTGTAAGCTTTCAAAATTAGTAAATCTTGCAAATTAATCAAAACAATTCTACTGTTTTGAAGCAAATAAAAGCCAAACTGCACAGTGATTCAATTTTGCACTTTTATCACAAGTCAAACATCAAGCTGCCCCACGCTGTGCCTGTAACAATGACATGCTGCTGCTTCCAAAATGCTCAGCCATTCATTGAGTGGACACTGAAGAATGGGACTATAATGCAGATTTCTCTTTTCCTTTAAGTGAAGCATTTTTAATAGCACTGGTTTACAAAGAAGTAAATACTATGCAAACTGGATACCATATATCTATCACACACACAAAAAAGTGGACTTTCCATGAATACAGTAAAGTAACACGGACAACTGGGGATGAGATTTGCCCTGGGGACCCTTCCAGGTCTGTGGACTCCAGGAGCCTAAGCATCCTGGAATGATGTCCACAGAAGCATTATACAATGCCATGATTTTTTATATCATCAATAATTGACAGCGGTCTGGAAAGGGCCTAATGGGCAAGGAATACTTGAGAAGGAGACTTTCATTTGTCAGTCGTTTACACAGCTTCTTCCTTAACTAAAGCTTTCTCAGCACCATGCCATGTTACCCAAAGCAAGCACACTCCAGCCACTTTTACACGATCAGATCAGAAGCAAATAGCTAAGATATCATGAATTTGTGAAGTGAGTTTCACCTTGTGTAATGAATTCAGCCTCATACTATAAGTATTTTATATCTCAAGCCTAAAATTAATGTGTATGCAGCTCAACTATATATAAATCTACAAAGAACCATTCAAAAATTGGTGGAAAGAGTCAGTATTTTCTAAATTTCTAAACCTTTAGAAGTAAAATATAATCACCTATCACCCCTTCATACCTGTCAGGAGCGTCTTACTTGCCCACCACAAAAATACCAATCATGTGTAATAAAATATTACTATAGGGTAAGCAGAAGCTTGGTTTTCTTTCCCAGACCGTAGTGGACAAACAAGGGTAATCAAAAAGGCACCTATTTTTGTATATGTCTACATTATAATTTTGGTATAAACTATATCTACTTTATATAGAGATGTGTTATTAAAGGATCCCACACATTTTCTTTGTCTTTTCATTAAAAACATTTCACTGGAGTTGGACAAATCTTTAAAAAAAAAAAATACACCTCTTCAACTTCCACTGTTTTAGAAAAGTTGGCTTCCCAACTCCCAAAGTGTTATAGAGCTCAGCACAGAGAGGGTGAGGAGAAAGAGACTGTGGCAGAACCAGCAAAGCCGCATCTCTACCATCTTCAAGCAGTGACCCTGGTGGCAAGGGAGGGGGTGGGCTGGTCTCATTCCGCTTCACACAAGGTGCTCTTGGAAATTGTGCTTGCATATTCCGGGGTGGTGTCTGGAGGTGGGGGGAGGCCTGAGGCGGTGCAGGGACATCTGGCAACCAGACAAATGCTTCAAATTGGGCTACACTGCCAGTGTGAGATTACAAGAAGACACACAAAGAAGTCACTTTGCCACAGGTGAGAGATAGAAAGCTTCCTTGGAGACCAAGAAGTCATAAAAACACTCACTACAAAAACTGCTCTCTCCAGAGACACGTGATCCACATACAGCTTTGTTTTTGAAATCTTGAAGAGTCTATTCAATTGCTCCTTGTGCTTTTGCCAGGCTGGGGGACATGGGCTTAGAAAAGCAGGTGCGTGCTCTCGGTGCTTGGGCACCCACCGTCTTCTGTAACTTGATTTGTAAAAAGCTCATCTCCTAGACCTTCGTTTAGCTGCCAGCGTCATGTATGCTGCCGCTTGCCAAACTGAAGCTGGGCAGGGGCCATGTTGAAAGGGGAAAAGCTATTCAACTACGCAGTTTTGAAAATGACTGTGTAAAATAGCACTTTGGTATTATACACACATTTCCTATATTTCTGCTGAGATGCTTAATATCCTGACAAGCTTTAGTGACAATGACAACACTATCAAGTAAGAGTGCCAGAACCATGTGCCATTGTGTTCTCCCTTGGTCTTTACTGTAAAATAGCCTCCCTCTGGTTCAATTCTGATCAGATCTCAATTCCTAAAGGCTGCAAGCAGAAACATCTTGCTATGCAGACATTATGTAAAGCTTATGATTTAGGAGAATTATTCCTTAAGTAAGTACTGACTTTTACATTCAATGAACCTGATTTTGAAACCAGCGGATGAGAAAAACAAAGAAACACCAAGCTGCTACTTTATGGTAACTTTCCATTCTACTTATCATTTTAAGTCAGTTTTCTTTGCATTCCCTATAAATGTTCCTGTCATGCCCTGACCAGTTTGGCTCGGGGGATGGAGCTTCGGCCTGCGAACTGGGGGGGTCCCGAGTTCAATTCCAGTCAGGGGCATGTGCCTTGGTTGTGGGCACATCCCCAGTGGGGGGTATACAAGAGGCAGCAGATCAATGTTTCTCTCTCATCAGTGTTTCTGACTCTCTATCCCTCTCTCTTCCTCTGTGTGAAAAATCAATAAAATATATTTTTTTAAAATTGTACCTGTCCTACATTTAGCCTGAAAAATTTAATCAATAATGACTCCTTTTTTTTAATCATGAAAAGAAGTCTGTGTGAAATGTAAATATTTACTTAATGGTATAATAAAACTGAGCAAGCTCATTTCCCTCACTTTTAATGCACATAAATTTTTGCAAGAATATTGCAAATTCAGTTTGTGTTTGTAGGTTTGTGTACAGGACATAAAAACTGATATGGGGTTTAATCAATCTAATCATGACCTGCCATTTGAATGATAGAAAATCAGTCAAGCTGCCTTTTCAGTAAAGCTCACTCAAAAAAAGTCTCTAGTAATTTGCCTGAATTTTTTCTCTTCAATTTTATGCCAGTGTCATGCAGATGAAGCTTGTGTGCAATAAATTTCATTCTATTTACTCTTTTAGCTAGATAAAATGAAACTACAGATTTTCAAAAGCATTTGCTAAGCTTTCAAGGTGTTAATAAATTAATGTTTGCCTTTGGACTGATAAACATTTCAACAAAATATATTTTGTTAATTCATTTGATTATATGGTCTAAAGAGATATCCTCAACCCATACATTTTATCACATTTTTGAGACTTTGCTTTTTCAGTTTCACCTCAACTATAGAGTTAGATCCTAAGTGAATGCTACCCTGTTGCAGGTCCCAATAAATTACACAATCAGGAAAATGCAGCTGCTGATGGATGTTAATCTCAGGTGATCTTGACTGCGGACTCAGGTGAAAGCCACGACCCGCCAGCAAAGGCTGCAGTCATGGCTGTGAATCCAGAAAGAAACTGCAAGGTCACTCCTTTGAAAATAAAAATCTAACAACAATTTCATTTTCAGTGAACAACCTATAATGTACCCAAAATCTCTGATGACATTTCCGTCTCACTCTCTGAATGTGATTGAGAAAGTAGAAAGCAGAAAGTGACAAGAAAATCTTTCTTTTGCTGGTTTCAGTGGCTACATTTCCATTCCAGAATGTGAATACCTTTTCCAAAACAAGAAACCAGACATCCAGACACACACACACACTCATATCTCTCTCTCCCTCTCTCTCTCTCTCTCTCTCTCTCTCTCTCTCTCTCTCTCTCTCTCTCTCTCTCTCTCTCATTGACCAGTCACTTTCTGACTTTCTGTTCACTGGTTTTCTCTAGCACACTTCCTATCCCACTTTGTCACTGGCTCCTGTTAAGTTTGCTTAACTTTCAAATCAGCAGCGGCATTAAGTTAATGAAAGCTGTTCAATAAACACCTAAATCACTTATTTACTAGAGTATGCATCTATTTCCTAAAGTGTACATCCTTCAAAACTAGAGTGCAATGCAGCAGGAGAATCTCAAGCAACTTTTCAAAATATGTTTTTCTGATGAGCTGACAACTAGAGGAAAGGCTTTTAGAGATCAGCCGCTCTTTTAGATCTAGTAGGAGAGACGGGCAGGGCAGCTGCCTATGTTACAGAAGCTTGAGTCTACATGTCATGCAGCAGGGTGAAGGTTATCGGGGAAATCAGAGAGATGGCCTGAATCTGCCCTTCGCAGAGCAGCTATGACATTATTTGGTCCTGACATTCCGTGGAGCCAAGCACACGTGTGGGTCCACAGAGTGTAAGTGGAGCGTAGGCTACGTCTTGGTACAAATAAGAAATAAACAGACCCAAGTTGGCCAAGGAAACAAAAACATTTCTTTGCTCAGTAGAAGTTTCTAGGTCCCTAAAGGCCACCACTCAATATAATGTTAACCAAACTGTCATTTTGCCATTGCTTACTTTATTATTCTAGATGATTTTCACTGGAGCTGGAAATTGCCTAATGACTCCAAAGCTACACAGTTTTTAAATTACTGGCTGTGTTGCTGAATTAAGAGAGTTGGCTTCTGGTGATTCCAAAGTGACAGCTAAGAAGTCGCAGATACGTGTGACATTTACAGGACAATCGACATCTCTATTAAAGTCTACAAAAATACATTTCCCAGAAGGGTTCAGTAGCCAATCAAAAGAAACCAGTAATACAATTAGCAGCACCAGGTCTCCAGACCTCGTTATTTTGTTTACAGGAACTACTGAAAATGCTGCTGCTCTCAGCCCAGAAACCACTCCTTCTTCCTGGTACCTGTGTGTCTAATTGTTAACGTAAGGGTAGATTATTGTAAAATAACTGCCAAGTTGTCTTAGAAGTATCCTCTATCTTTTAAAAAGACTAGGTTTAGTATACATTAGAGTAAAGCTCAAAGGGCAAGGGGAAGTGATTAATTAACAAACTCAATGTAGTTCGCGGGGAGCATCCCGGTCTTCCCCGTCCTCTGCACCGTGCCGTACATCCAGCCGTCGTCGATGGGCTGCACGTTGACGATGTAGTCGCCGTCCCTGAAGGAGACCTCATCTTCGTCCTGGGCGCTGTAATCGTACATGGCGCGGTAGGTCCTCTGAGGAAAGGAAGGCAGGGTCACTGTGAACACCAGCACAGTCATGGCCACAAACGCCAATCCAACAAACCAACCCGCTCATAGAGCGACTATTAGGAGAGTTTCCAAGGACATTTATTTCTGGAGAGCTGTACACCAGAGCCTCGTGTTCTAACTGTGCTCGTCTCAGGTTTACTAGGCTAGCAGAAAGCTAACCTTTGGGGGCCAGAACAGGGACAGAGCAAGCCACTAAATACAACTGCTGGCCTGTCAGAAAGTAAAGTGGTGAAGTCCAATGCCCCCCAGAGATGTCTCGGCTAACCTCAGAGACATCGGGTGACACAGATTCTCCCCTAGTCCACAGTCTTCACAGAATAAAGCCTGCCCTAGCGGCAGGCAAATCCATGTCACTGCCAAGCCCCTGGCAGAGGCAATAAACTTTTCTTAAGCAGGTATTTAAAATGTTTTTTCCTCTTAAAAATATACAAAACAAATGAAAGAATCAATAATATACTCATTTTTTTACTTTTGTGTCACAGTGGTAGAAAGTCAGCATATATATGTTCTAAATACTAGGGTACATACTACTATGACTAAATCTTTACTATAATGAGGAACATGTCTACTTCCTCACTTCAAAGTATGTTACAAAACTATGTCATCAATACAGTATAGTATTAGCATAAATCAATGGAATGGGATAGAGAGCCTAGAAGTAAACCTATGCATATATTGTCAATTAGTTTATGACAACGGACCCATGAATGCACACTGGGGAAAGGACAATCTCTTCAATAAAAGGTGTTGGGAACACTGGACAGCCACATGCAAAAGAATAAACGTGGACCACTATTTTATACAATACACAAAATATTTACTCGCAATGGATTAAGAATTTGAATGTAAAAACTGAAATCATAAAATTCCTAAAAAAAAAAAAATGGTCTTGGCAATGATTTTATTTGACACCAAAAGCAAAGGCAACAGAAGCAGAAAATAAATGTGACTGCATCAAACTAAAAAGCTTCTGCACAGCAAATAAACCAGCATCAAAATGAATAGGCAACTTACTGAATGAGTAAAATATTTATAAATAATATGTCTGATAAGTGATTAATATTCAAAATATAAATTGAGTTTTACCGTTCTTGTTTTCATTTAAGGCCAAGAGTTTAGCTGATATTAACATCAGACAATCCCAAAATCAAATGAATTCATACCCTGAGGAAACTGGCTGAGACACAAAGAATTTTAGAGCAACTAAGATAAATTTCAAACTACAGGGGTCAGTGGGCGGCACATGTTTCTAAGTTCTCAAAGGGCCAGTGACTGTGTCAGTTGCTTGGAGAAGCATTTTCAGCATGAGATGTCACATTTGCCATCAAAATGACTATGAACGGCGCTTCCAAACTTGACATTTAATTAATGAATTAATGCTTCAAGGTTTCCAATGAGAGGATTCCAAGACATGCTGGCTCTGTCATTTAGGTTTTAGTGGCCATTTTGATTAATATCAAGATTAATTAGTTAGTATGACCAACTATTTGTGCTTTACAGACATGGAGGAAGATCATAACTGGCTAACACCAATAATAAAATAATAATTAGGGTATTGTACTAGTAGAATCTTTGTATTTCATTGTTTACATGTTTTCACATCATACCTTCCCTTCTCAATAGTTTATCTCTATGCATCTTTTGCTTCCTTCAAAAGGGTTGTACCAATGACAGCATATCATTTATCCTTTATTTGAAAATGTACATGCCCATTGACAGATAAACAAATAAAGAAGTGGTACATATATGCAATGGAATATTAGGCAGCCGTAAAAATGAATGAAATTATGCCATGGGCAATAAAAAATGGCTTAGAGGATATTATGTTAAGTGAAAATGTCAGTCAGAAAATGATAACTACTATATAATTTTGCTTATATGTGGAATCTAAAAAAAAAAACAAACAAACAAAAAAAAAACCCACAAATGAACAAATAAAACAAAACGGCCTCATAGATCCAGAGAACAAAGTGATGGTGCCAAAGGGGAAGAAGGGTGGGGGGAGTGAGTGAAAAAGGTGAAGGGGGATAAGAGGCATAAACTTCCAGTTATAAAACAAGTGAGTCGTGGAGACATAATGTGCAGCACAGGGCACTTAGTCAATAATACCGCAGAAACTTTGTATGGTGATGGATGCTTACTAGGCTTGCTGTGTGGTGATCACAATGTAGAGTAAGTAAATGTCTAATCACTATGTTGTACACTGAAACTAATACAATATTGTATATCAACTATAGGTTAATAAATGATAAATGTTAAAATATAAAATAAATAAAATTATTTTTCCATGCGTATTCATATTTTGGAGACGAAACGGGAACACCGGGCAAAAAGAAACACTTCAAACGTACACTTACTAGATTTGGTGAATGCTGCATCGACCTCATGGATGACAGGCTGGTCTGGTGCATGTACCCGTAGCCTTGGGAATGGCTCTGCTGGTAGGCTCCAGGAAGCACAGGTGCTGCGCATTAAAGACACACACGCATAGGTTCCGTAAAGCAAGTCTCAAAACCCCCTCCTGCCCCCTCAAGTGACTTCATGCTCTGCAAGCATCTTCTGAAACAAAATGCCATTTTTCAGTACAATATGATATTTGGGTAGTGATGTGATAAGCAATCTCTAAGTTAGTATAAATTCCGTAATGAAGGACATGTACAGGGAATCAGTTAAACATGCGGTTAACCATATTAGAAATAGTTCTATAACTCAGTTGCAGTTGCTATGTTAAAATAACACAAATACAAAAAAAATGAATTTCCCATAACCTCTTAACAATATTACATTTTCACTTGGCCATGTGATCCTTTTAGATGTGTTTTTTTTTTTTAAAAAAAAAAAAAAAAAGAAAGAAAGAAAGAAAAAAAAAAGATATTTAAAGAAATGTATAACTGGATTGTCAAACCAATGACAGAGTATAAATGTTTTCACTGTATGCTTCACACATGAGAGGATGCTCTGCATATTTCAAGACCTACAGCTGAGTGTTACATTTACAAAGATGATAAGCACAGCATATGTTTAGCAATATCTGCTTGTTTAGCAGTTAATAAGTCTACACCATTAAAATAAACCTTTACTTAAAATATATGAATTTTCCACTTTTTTTTGCTGTAAGTCAAGACTAAATCAATCAACTGAGCTGTTGCAAAAGAATGTCATAAATATTGTCACACTATATTGACAAGAACACTATCAAAATAGTATTTACTTAATTTGTGCTGTTCTCATCGCTAATTATTACATTAAAAAGACATAGTTACCACTTTGAAGAACACTGAATTCTGGAGAAATCAACAGAGAAGCTGGATAAAACCCCACAAAATCAGTAGACATATGCTTGTGTGTTTCTCAGGAAGTACTTTTCAGTATGGTAAGCAGAAATATGGGCTTTAAATGAGGGCATTTTAGTAATATGCCCTTCGCTACATTTTCAAATAATTATATGATACATTAGTAAAACATGGAATACATGTGCTGTAAAAATCCATAACAGGTTCCCAGTTTTGTTCAATCAGGTTGAGTAAAGTAATTATTGTGGGTTGATTATTCAGGGCAGTGTTTATAATAAAAGAATAAAGCAGATGTAACTCTTGGGTGTTATGAATAATTAATGTTTTATGAGTGGCACATTGATTCTAATGATATATGAGAATATCAAACTTGAAAGAAATTTAACCATCAGAAAATTACAAAACATTAATGTGTTCTCCTGATGATAATGACATTAGGTTGAAAGGGGATTTTTTAAAATAGTTCTTGAATTAATTCATATTACAGTGTTGTTACAAAATAGTCCTGATTTAATGTCTAGATGTGGCATCAATGAGAAATTGCCAAGATATTTGTTAGGATTTGTAGTACTTTATAAAGTTATTAAAACATTAAACTTCAAATACTTCAGAAAATAGCACTTTTTAATATTATCAACTCAATTTAAATAGTTAATGTCAAGAGTTGTCGGAGATATTGTCAAAATTCACTCATGAAGAAAAATAACGAAATCCCCATAAATAACTAGGCCACCTAATTAGTTGAGTCAAAGAGCCCTTCCTGTGTGCTGGAAGCTGGACTCATTGACCATTTATTCACTCCCTTGACTCTCGGCAAATATTTACTAAGTGAGTTCATGTGTGCACAGGGCTTACTGCATTGCCTGTTATTTAGAAAACCTCCACAGATGTTAACAGGCATCACTCTCTGCTATTTTTGAGGCATGCCAGGGCCAACAAAAACCACTGCCCTCCCAGAGCAGCGATGGCCCTGGACGTCTGCCCTTTGCCCAGTTAAAGAAATGGCTCTGGATACTTAGGGCTTTTCCAGTTAAATGTATTAGTCAATAATTCCAACTACATATTCCAGACTGGCACTTCTCAAGAGGTTTTTATCCATTGCACAAGTCATTTCATTAATTATTATTTTAATGTACTTGTAAATACTAAGTCAGGTTAAATAAATAACCCAGTAAACTTAAAATAAAAATTAAACATTTAATCCTTTGTTACACTATTTAACTATGTCCTTTAAATTTTTATGCACAAAGTTAAGTACAACCATCTCAAAATATTTTGGGGAAAAAACAGGAAAGGACAGTTAAAAAACACAACATGAAATATACTGTCTCAGATGGTGTAATATGTTTATGTTTAGATAGTTTGTTCCTAATCCCAGTTACAACCCATCAGTACTAACAATTCAAGAATGTTGTTTAACAGAATTCTCTAATTTTGGCTTTTAAAAATCAAGTATATTCATGCCTATTCAATTGCTCAAGTTTGACCTTAAGAGAACCTGTTATTGTCAAATACCAGGAAATAAAAGTAATGTATTTGTGCCCAGCCAGTGTGGCTCAATGGTTGAGTGTTAACCTACTGTGGTTAACAGTTCCATTCCTGTCGGTCACATGCCAAGGTTGTGGGCTTGATCCCCAGTAGGGGGCGTGCAGGAGGCAATTGATCAATGATTCTCTCTCATCATTAATGCTTCTATCTCTCTCTCCCTCTCCCTTCTTTTCTGAAATCAATAAAAGTATATTTTTAAAAAGGTAATGTATTTGACCTAAATATGCCTGAGTTTGAGAGAGCAGGATGAAAGTATAGAATAAGAAACCGTGGAGATATATAATCATATCTAGTCCTTATGACTTCTCTTCATGCTTCTGTTGATTATTTCCATTTTCCTCTCCGGCTGCATTATTTAGTGCAAGTTCCATTGGGGTAATTGAACTTTGATATCTACTTTTTACCTGGTACAGTGAAAGAGTATTAGGAAGCTCCTATTAGGGCTATGAAAAACATAACTGAAAGCCCAGATAAATCAACTTACTAAAAGCAAATGCCAATTTAAAAAGAGGCACAAGGTAAAAGGGGGATAAATAGTGATGGAAAGAAACTTGACTTTGTGACATAAACCACAATACAATATACAGATGATGTATTTTAAGAGTTGTGCACTTGAAACTTATATAATTTTACTAACCAATGTCATCCCAATAAGTGCAACTAAAAATACATAAAAAGAAGCACAGACATTGCTTTTTGTTGTGTTTCATTACACAAATGCTTTTTAGAAAACAAAACAAGCAAAAGGAAATTGGAAGCAATGGCTTTGGAAATTGGGTTTATTTGATTAAAAGAAAGTCCATGTGACTTGGGAGATTTCTTCCATGAAAATAGAAAATTCAAAGTGTTGTGCAAAAGCTAGATGCCAGGATAACTTCACAACAAGAAAGGACTTCTTATGAAAAGGAAAAACACAGTGCCCTCTTTATTAACTAGTGGTCAGGTCCCGCAGGCATTGGTGTAAATGGATGATGATAAGGACACAATCATCTTACAACCCAAGAATTTTGAGTTTGAGGGGGTTTTATTTCAATAACATAAAAGTCACAACACACTAGCTTTTGTTATCCTAAGGGCAACATAAAACACAGAAGTGTGACTCACTTTCATTTCACATTGGCGAGATTTATTGACCAGAGATCCCAGGGTCCATTTGGAATGTCCTGTAGAACCTATAAACCAAAATCCCTCTTCCACTGTGTAATAAAGCTCTTCCACAATTAGCCACAACAAGTATTTCCTATTTATTATTTATTCTTATGATGATAGACAAAACCAAGGTAAAGAAATAAGAAACCCTAGCTGCTTTGGCACAGTGGCTAGCGCATCAGCCTGCGGACTGAAGAATGCCACGTCTGATTCCAGCAAGAGCACATTCCTTAGTTGCAGGCTTCATCACAATTGGAGGCAACCAACTGATATGTCTCTTTCATATCGATGTTTCTCTTTGTCTCTCCCCCTCCCTTCTACTCTCTCCAAAAAACAATAGAAAAAAATATCCTTGGGTGAGGATTAACAAAACAAAAGAATTGGACATGAAGGTCAGAAAACAGAGAAAGAAAGTTTTTATAATATAAAGCATCACAAATCTGAAAATGGAAAAATGAGGAAATACATGCAAATATACAAAGATTAGGGTAAATGATACCCCCCCCCCAAAAAAAAAATGAATCTACAATAAAAGGAGAAAGGACCCAAAAAGAAGTCCACTTTGGGGGAAGTGCCAAGAGTAGGTGAAAGAAGTAGACTTTTAGTTATCAGAACTCCTCTTTTGAATAGATGCACTCCCTACTTTTCAGAATAAAAATACAACAGCTGACAGATTAACCAGGAAGGCAGTAAGTTAGCTCTGCACTGTGACACCACAACAAAGGTCTCCAGTCAGTAAAGATAAGGTGGAGGTTTTAAAAACTGTACCAATAATATAGGGTAACATTAGGTGACCAAACTCTAAATGCAAAAAATAAAAATAGTGCCATATTGATGCCTTGGCCAATTGGGGCTGCTATAACAAAATTCCACAGACTGAGTGGCTTAAACCATAAACATTTATGTCTCACAGTTCTACAGACGGGGAAGTCCCAAATTAAGGGGTCAGCAGGATCAGTATCTGGTGAGCTCTGGCTTCCTGATTTAAATCTCGGTGTCCTTATGTGACAGAAGGGGACAAGGAATTCTATGAAGACTAAATCCCTTTCATGGGGGCTCCACTCATGACCTCGTCATCTCCCAAAGGCCCCCTCCTCCCAATAGCATCACATTGGGAATGTGATTGTTGGTGAGTATGGGAGGGAAGACACAATGGCTATCTATAGACTTAACACAAACAGAAAATAATTTGGGGTATTTTCTTCTTGAAAAATCCAAAATAAGGAGAAAATCACCAGAAGTTTTCCAATAAAGAATACAGGATGCAATATAAGTACTGTCATTTAGGCTGTTTCCAAATCTTAGCTATTGTAAATTGTGCTGCTATGAACATAGGGGTTCATATATCCTTTCTGATTGGTGTTTCTCTTTTCTTGGGATATATTCCCAGAAGTGGTATTACTGGGTCAAATGGCAGTTCCATTTTTAAAATTTTTTGAGGAAATGTCATACTATTCTCCACAGTGGCTGCACC